TTCCATTGCACAAAGTTCCCAACCAATAACATTTTTGTTGTTGCTGTTTGAGGTGATAGCTACTTTTTAAAAAATGAATGTTCCAATTTGTCCAAATTCCAGCAACCATGTAGAGTTGTTGGCTTATGTATTTTTAATTCAGTAGAGATTTTATAAAGAGCCACTATAAGTGCAAACAATTGCACAAATAACAATTAACATCTTAGCAAAAAGGTAAATTCAAACTTGTATATAAAACGTGTTGTAAACCTCTTGAAATCTTTTGCTCTTTGACTTCTGTAGAAGAAGTCAGCTCCCTTGGATTAAGTATTCATAGTTACAGTAACACAATGCTACATATTGTAATGAAGACTAAATTTGCAATCAGCATATGTTAGGATTGTAAACTAATTCTCTTCTTATACTGGTGCACACTAGTAGCTTCAGAAGGTTTGCACCATGAGAAGTAGCAGAAGCTTTTGGTCCTATATGGATGCTCCTCCATTTATGAACTAATTGGAGATTAGAAATACAACTTTTTCCTCAGCCTACTAGTCTCAAAAATAACATAATAATAATAATAAAGACTAAAGATAGAGTTCACTGGAGGACAACACAGTGTGTATGTCTCCTGAAGGCAAGCGCTCTAGCCTGGGATGTGGAAAATCCTGGTTGAAGTCACTTCTCTGCCCAATTCTCAGCAGTTTTTCATCCCAGAACATTCCCAATCAGGGAGCCCAGAGATGTGATCCTGAATCTCAAGCCAGTGCCCTCTCCTCCCCTGCTAGAAATAATACCCCCCCACACACACACTCTGCCTCATCTAAATAAACCTCAGCCCCTTCCTATAAAAAATGCAATTGAAAAAAGATAATTTTTCACAGAACATTTCAGCAAAAGTGTTCCAAAGAGCTTTTGTTAAAGGTTACACAACTCAAAGGATTCCTCCCAGGGGCTTCTCCAAGCAGAATGCCTCATTCTGAATTCATGATATGAGTGCAGACTGTTTTGAATGAATTACTATAACAACAGCAAATAGGCATGGAAAGGGGTGAAAACAATATGTGATCACCACATTTTCAACAGCTGTTTCCTGTCAGGAAGCTTGCAAATGTAAAATTGGTATGATAATTTGTAATAAATGGTGCTAAAACACAGGTAACAGGAATACTCAAGGAACATCAGTGTTACAGATGATCTGGCTGTAAATTACTTAACTCGACCATATTTCCCATCTACCCCTCCTACCTCCAATCACGGTTTTCACTTAGGCCCATATTTTTTTGTGGAGTCCACATTACAGTGGATAGAAAGGGGGAGGACAACAGGCAAGAAAGTAATGGGGTGCATTAGGAAGCTACTTATGACTTTCTGGTACTAGCTATTCTAAGCTGCTGGAATGCATCATGTTCCAGCTACAATCTTTGCTGGCCCTGTGCTCTGAGAAGGGATGTATATGAGCCAGTCACTCCAGTGCTATACCTGATGTGGACTCTCCCATGTCATATGGAACCTCCAGAGTTTATGGTCAGAGTCTGCTTCCCTGGCACCACCTGACAGGCACAAAAGAAGGGGAGTGGAACTTCATTCAGAATAATAGACCTTGTCTCTTCAGCTTTGCCATATCCAACCTTGCTTAGTTGAATAAAAAGAACCCAAAAGCATGTACCAAGCTCCAAAGTACATAGACTTTCTCACCAAAAATTCTTGTATAGGCTGTTTGTAATTAAGGTATTATGAATCTAGCCCTATATCCATTGAAGTATATGGGACTTTTGCTTTGACTTTAGTAGGACCCCATAATAAAACCTGAAACTAAACTTTCCTGCTGTTGGAAGGCTCATATACATTAGGCACATAACATTTTGACACAGCTGCAACTAACCAATGGAGGAAGATTCAAGAATGATCTTTCAATGGAAAAAGACAAGGAAATGTTTCTGGGGCCTTAATGTAAAGGTCTCAAGACACAATTAAAGCTGATCATACTTAGTGTGACTGGTCATGAACCAAATACATCCACTTACAATACTATTGAAGGATCAATTGTGGTTGACACTATGTCTGGGAAATAACATTAAAACACCCTTAGGATCCTACTCTTGTTTCTGACATTTGCTGTGTTTTGAAAGCTGTCCTTGTGTTTTCTCTTACCCAGGAAACAATTAAAAAGTTCTGCCCCAAATTCTGAGAGCTTGATGAGACACCAATGTGATGGTGGACTGCCTGATTTCAACAATTAAAAATGCTTCTCACTGGCTTCAATATTATGGATCAAATCTATACTCAGCTCAGCTAATTAACAACAATAGTCTCAACACTAGTTGAGACTATTGGACCAAACTGAGGTCTCACTGTTGCTCACTAGAGTAGACCCATATGTGAATAGAATGTGGGCAAACTTTTCCAGGATGGGGCCTTTAATGACTAAACTATGTAGTAAGCTTAAACAATTGTTCAAGAATCCTTAAAGCCTGATAAAGCAATGAAAAGTTATCTCACAGTAATGCAAGAGTTATGGACCCCGGTGATGCTTGAAGAATATTGTAGCTTGGGATGTTATTGATCTCCAAATGTCAAAGCACCAATTGTCCAGAATTGATTTTCTTTTCTCTTCCTCCATTTTAACTGGTTTATTCTACGGAATCATGGAAAATGCCTTGTTTCATAGATGTTTCTTTCCTTTAATATATATTGTTTTTCCTGTAATAAAATCCACTAAATTAAGTCAGGAGATGTTTGGGGCCAGATCTTCTACTGGTGTAAATTGGTGTAGCTCCACTGACCTCAGTGAGGTTATGCTGATTTATGCAAACTGACAAACTGGTCTGTTAACTATAGCTGAGCTTTCACACAGGGAAGGAGGAAGGAAAGGCAGGAAGGATCATAACAGAGAACAAATGTCGCCAAATATGTATTATATTTAATTATTATTTGCATTGTTTTAGTACCTAGAGGACCCAACCAAAGACCAAAGTTGTTTTGTGCTAGGCACTGTACACAATCACCATTCTCTTCAGCACCGGTAGTCAGACAATGGTGTAGAATCTACATTCTGGGTGCCTTCCAAGTATCCTCAGATAACCTCATGGCCTGTGATACTGCATCAGTCTTTGAAAACTGCTTATGCATAAGTTGAAGTGAGCAAACTCATTTAGGGTACATCTAAACTACATCCCTTTTTTGATAAAGGGATGTAAATTAGACTTACTGAAATTGTAAATGAAGCCTGGATTTGACTTTCCCGTGCTTCATTTACATAATGGTGGCTGCGGCTTTTTTTCAGAAAAAAAGTGACGTTTACAGGATCTTTCGAAACGGGGCATTTCTGTCAAACGGTCCCCGTCTTGACCACAGGGTTTTTTTTTTAAAAGAGGCTTTTAGAAAAAAAAAACCCGCGGCCTCCATTATGTAAATGAAGCACAGGAAATTCAAATCCAGTATCGAAATTGTAAATGAAGCCATCTAATTTACATCCCTTTATCAAAAAAGGGATGTAATTCAGATGTACCCTTAGTCACAGAGGGTATGTCTACACTACCACCCTAGTTCGAATTAGGGTGGTAATGTAGGCAATGGGAGTTGCAAATGAAGCCCAGGATTTGAATTTCCCAGGCTTCATTTGCATCTCGCTGGGCGCCGCCATTTTTAAATGTCCGCTAGTGTGGACTCCGTGCCGCACGGCTACATGCGGCACGGACTAGGTAGTTTGGACTAGGCTTCCTATTCTGAACTACCATTACTCCTCGTGAAAAGCTTGACAGTAAACTGCTTAAAGTGCTGAAACTGCTGTTTGTGCCCTGGGTCATTGGGCGAGGTCTACTAATAAGTTGCTTAAACTGCTGAAATCATTGAAGTATATACCATTAAAAACAAACATGATCAAAATTTCCAGAATTACTATGACATGGCTTATAGGAATAGGGAGTGACACAATGGGAACACCCTGTATTTTACAAAAGTGCTAACCTCAAAAGTGATAAACAACTTAGGATAATGGCATAAATAAAAGATTGAACAAATAAAGTTAAGTAAAGTGAGTAGGTTATCTAAGAGTGTTGGAATAAAGAAGTACATATGGCTGGAATACAACGTGGCAACAAGTTGTGAAGCAACCAAATCTCACCTTGGATAAAAGATGCTCTGCATGTATGCGTTTTGGGAAGGAGGAACAGAGTGGACCTGCAAACTCTGTTCACGTAACCACAAGTTTGGGGTCTGTTTGTCCACATCATGCCCTCTAGGATGTCTCAGTGCGTGAGAAGGAACAAGACTATGACTTCCAGTCTGGGGATTGTCGGGATCAAGGGTGAACGGTAAGTGAATTAAGCTTAAATATTGTAATATAACAGTTTTGCACTAACTACTTTGCATTATAGGCATCTTAGGCGAATCCTTTAAAAATGTATAGTATATAGTAATAAGTTAGTTTATAATGAATCATACTCAAAGGCTGTATTGTGATTTGTGCTGAGTTTGTCTTGTACTGCTTATGGGAATTATATTGACCCTTTTATTTGCAAAGTTCTTTGGTTATTGTAATTGCATGAACTCTCTATAAAATAGGAAAGTGGTTAAATTCAAATCTCTCTCACTGGTCTGTCCGGAACCTCTGTATCTAGAAATATACTGAAAGAACCATCACAAGACAGGTATGAAATGGGCTTTCAAGAAGGGGACTGCCATTTATAACATTGCGCCTATGGGAAATAAGGTTTCAACTTACGATGGCTTGACTTATGATGGTTTTCCAGGAACCAATTAGGTTGTAAGTGTGGGGGTAACCTGTACTGAGATATGAACTGCTCTCAATCTTTGACACTCAAGACAAGCTTCCCAAAGGGTGTTTTTGCACAAATAATAAGGAATGGGTTAGGTCAAATTAACTAGTCCAGGCCTCGGGGTTAATAGAACTGAATCATGGCCAAATTCTGCTCTCTCTTACACACACAAGCAAATGCCATTGTCATCAATTTGACCCCTAATTTAGCAAACTCTCTTAAATCAGTGTCAATTCTTACCTTTGCCTAAGGAGGTGGCTATTCCGTTCATTAACTGGGTCAGTGATTTACTAGGGGAACCAAGGACATCTGAAGATGCCAGCGAGTTACTGGTCAAGAGATCAATCTTTCCAGCTTGCTGCCGAAACTTCTCCAGTTCCTTGGAGAGGAGGTTAAATTGTTCACTGTGTGACCGACATTTCTCCTCTAGCTCTCGTACCTTGGCCTGCATAACCAAGACATAAGAGATGAATCTAAATGGGATCACAGAGACCTTTGGTCAGATTAGACCATCCGAGAATACTATGAAGCAGGGATGGGCAAACTAGTTGGAGCACCTTTTTCTTCACCGAAACTTTTCTCCATATTTAGAGCCAAACCTTTTGGGAGTCTATAATATTCAGGTAAATATTTTTGGACTACTAATTTCCAACCAAAAAAAAGCTTATTCTTTCAGTGTTTCCAATTAGAACCAGGAGTGACACTGCTACTGAATTTGCATGATAAAGTTTTCTTATGACATTTTTCAGTCCAAATATTGCTTATTCAGAAAAGCAGCCTAGCAAATGAATGCTTCCCCCACTCAACTCCAAATCCCAAATCTCTTTTTGAGGTTTGCCCATCCCTAGCCATCAAATCAGAGATTCCTTAATTGCTATACTATTATTTCTAGAAAAGCAGCAATGGTTCATGCAGAACATTGGTCTAGCTGTTGGCTGAATTCTATTTCAAAATTAATGTACACAGCTAGATGTGCCAAACTGTCCAGAAGTAATTCAGACACCAGCCAACAGAGCATTATGAATAAGCCTGAGAGTAACACAAACATTTTGTCATTAGCAGGCTTTTTGTTTTAATTCTGAGGCATTAGGCTGTGACACAGCAGAAATTATGTGGAAATGATTTAACAATCTGATGCATTATTTCCTAATCTGGTGTTTTATCATGTATCAATATTATTTTCCTCCCATTTAACCTTCTTCCCTATAGCCCTAGTAAGACCGACTTATTAATGAGTATAAATTGGATATGAATGAAATCCATTTTTCCCCATTAAATTGCTACTATGACATTTTTTTAAACATTTTTCATGTGGTGCATGAAAAAGATAGTTGAACAGTTACATGTTTCTACATAAAAACCATAGCTGTATTACACCCATATGCCTCACTGTGGGCACGAAACAATTATATGACTCATGGTAAAGGTAATGATGGAATTCATTCTAGGGCCCTTTTAAATGATGAACCTCAGTAATTTAAAATGTTCAGTGGTTTCCTCCACACACCCTCCTTAGAAGAACACATGCATTAAAAAGTACCAGTTTCCTGATATAGAATGGAGTATTATTTTCTCATTAATAAATTATTTCTAAAAATACAAGCACATCTGAACATATAATTAATCTCTTCAAATTCATAAAATGCAAATTGGTTTAATCTTGCTGCAGAAATATGAACACATTTGGCAGATGCGAGTACCCTGAAGGGAATAAGAAGTAATACTTGAAAAGATAGAGACAGTGTGAAGAGTTCTAAACAAAGTCAAAGTGCTTTCATTCTTTATTCTTCCTCTCTTGGGTTAAGGTACCCACATAAGCACCTTTTCTATTTGTCAACTTGCAGCTAGTTGAGATCTGACTATAGGGCTCCTGCGTGCAATATAAAAAGAAATTTAAATGGACAACGGCAGTAAAAGGATTTAGGTTTCTAGTAAGATAGCCATGTTAAAATCCCACTCTTTTCAATGGAGAGATTTAGGACCAGTTATTAACTCTGTGTACAAAAAATACCCTGAAGCTTTCCTATATACTAACCCAAGCATTCCAGAGCCATAAGTCAGGCTATGAAATATTATAAGATTTTAAAATAAATAAATAAAACATGGGGCTTTTTTATGTGCCTTTTTGGCTTTGAGACATCAGTGTTCAAATTTTCAATGCCTCTTGGCAACATGCAGGGCTACAAAAGGTTGTTGTTTTTTTTAAAGAAAGCAAAGATTCTGATATGATCACAGAACTAATATTTCAATGAAAAAAGTACCATGAAACTTACAATGAAAACGAAAGCTGGCAACTTTATCATGTGCTTGTTTTCTAACACTAGACAGTTGGTTATTTGACTATTAATAGCAAATAATGAAATTAAGATCTGTACAGGGGCTCTGCCCAATGCCTATACACCACTTAAATACAATTTAACACCCATTATGAAGCCTTCAGGGAGTTTTAAGTGCAGCACAGAACTTGCAGAGACCAACAACATACCAAAATAATGTCTTTAGAAATCAAAACAGACCTTCAAAAATTACACAAACAGATCTCTGTCTGAACTCTAATAATCTCAGACTCATAACAAACACAGATAAATAATGCCTTTTTCATTCATGTCACTGTCTTCACTATATATGTAATATTTGAAATATGACTTCATTTATGAGCACATTTATGCTAATATGACTGTTCATGGTATATACCAAAAATGGTTTTAAATAGCACACTGGTGATCTGCTAACAAATGCAAATATGAATTATACTCTAATATAAAATACTTTTATAAATAGTTGATATTATTTACTAATTCTGATGTATATTGAAAAACTATGTAGATTTCATTTACAATTATCTGATTATAAGTTAATGCTTGTGCCCTTCAAATCTAAATAAAATGGCACAGAGGCTGCTAAATAGCAAAGGTGATTGTGATTTTACTGAAATTAAAGGATCAGCTACAATTGTTTTGAAAGCTATATGGGAAATTGGAGCCAGGAATGTTTCTGCTGATACTGTACTAAACAAATACTCTGATAAAATAGCACTGAAAAACTACACAGAAATAGTTTAATTATAACTACTTTCACTGCTAATAGAAACCACTGACACTTTCGTCAAAGAAATAAACTTCCAAACTTCCCTGAAAAAAAATTAAGTCTACTCCCAAAACCCACAATCAGCATATATTCTCCCCTACTACAACCCTGCTGCTCACTTCCCATTTCCAGATCATTCAGAAAGTATTGGCAACCACATGCTGATATCACATGGCATCTGCCAACATCCTGGATGCTCTCCATTTGTACTTCACCTGGCTACACAGCAAAGCACGAAGGCAGTCCTAAGTGCCACTAAAGAAGACATCCTTATGGGAAAGAAAGGAGGCCCCATCTCGAAACTCATACTACTGTACTTGAAACAAAAAATAGGGCTATGTAGCACTTTAAAGACTAACAAGACGGTTTATTAGGTGATGAGCTTTCGTGGGCCAGACCCACTTCTTCACATCAAATAGTGGATCTGAGGAAGTGGGTCTGGCCCATGAAAGCTCATCACCTAATAAACCATCTTGTTAGTCTTTAAAGTGCTACATAGCCCTATTTTTTGTTTCAGCTACACCAGACTAACACAGCTACATTTCTATCACTATACTACTGTATTGACCTCTAAGGAACTTATGGTGCAATCACTCACATCTTTCTGTTGGCCTTTCTGCATGACAAAGCTCAAAAATAGAAGGTTAAGCACTGATACAGTCCCATTCCTCTCCAAGGGTATGTCTAAACTACATACAAGGGTATGTAGATTAGGCTGATCGGCAGAGGAAAATGAAGCCACGATTTAAATAATCACAGCTTAATTTAAATTTAAATGAGGCATACCTGCGCTGGTCGACAAAGGCTTCCTTGTCAACAGCAGTGTGTCCAGACTGCCCCGATCTGCCGACAAACACCTGATCATCAGCTGGTAGGCAGAGCGCGGCAGCCATTTAAATTTAAATGAAGCCATGATTATTTAAATCGCGGCTTCATTTCCCTCTGCTGATCAGCCTACTCTACATGGCTCCATTGATGGAGCCATGTAGTTTAGACACATCCCAACTGAACTAAAAATCGATAATAGGCAAGTGCTTTGATTCCTCAAGTGCTGTCACTTACAGAGACCTTTGGGGAGCTACTTTTTTCCTGTCCTCTTGTATATCAAAATGAGACTCCCTGGAGGATGTAAAGACCACAGATCAGTGATGGGCAATCCAAGCTAGTGAGTGAGCCGCATGAGTAGCCCTCCTTCATTTCAGTGGGTTGCAAGATTATTGTAACAAAGGCCATCTCCTGGCATAGAGTAATTTTGCTAAGTGCACTTGCACACCTAGAATTTATAATGGATGCCAGTTGAACCATAGCAGCACTTTGAGTGCACGGCTCTCACAATGTTGTCTGCAATCAGCATGCACCTCACGTCACATGCCTTTGCTTTATGTGTGCATCACTTTAGTAATATCAGTAGGAAAAAACTGACATGGACGGAAATCTGTAGAATCTGTCAACCCTGCTCATGAGCAATGGTAAACAAAACGTATCGTGCGCCACACATGTAACCCGATGGGCTGCGTGTACCCATCATAGCGCAGGTTGCCCACCACTGCCATAAACTACATGGCTCCGTCACTGAACTGCTAACAATATATTGATGACATGCAGCTGCAATCAACACCATCAGACGGATGTCACCATGTCTACAGTAGACCAGCTCATGATTGAAGAGTGGCTTGCTCACATACAATCTGGACAAAACTGAAGACATTCTGAAGAACTAGCCAGGGTCCGTATGTCCTGGCTCCTGTTTTTCAAACACATTATAACTCCCATGGTCCTGTTCAAAGCAGCAGTTAACTTAGATGATCAGTTGGCATCACTGAATAAAAAATGCCTCACTAAGAAGTTTCACCTCTTACTGCCAGATGAAGACTGTGACTCACTGTCTCTGGATCCCAAGATAGCATCAACGTTGAGGTTCCAGCTTGTGTATAATGTGTTCTTCATATTGTTCCTATGCACTCATCCTTCCACTTGCTCCTAAACTGCTGCAGTAGTTCAAGGCTTTCATCTTTATCATCAGTGTCCTCAACAGGTCTGGACTCAGCTATATCAATGACTACCTTTCCATCCACTATTCACCAAGACAACTGTGATGTTCTGAGACAACACAGTTCCTCAACACCATGGGGCAGAGGCCAGACAAATAGTTCTACAGTGAGGGGGATTGGCTGTGGAATGACCTGGCATAGGCCATTGTCTTGCTATCTTCAGGGTGTGCTGCAAGACACTTCTCTTTGACAGAACATTCTGACCATAACAAAGTTAATGGGTGAGAGGCAGAAGGAAAGAAGAAAAAGCAGTGATCTGCATACCGGGGAAGGGAGACTCTTGAAATCCCAAATCCCTTAAGGGTATGTCTGCACAGTGTTAGTTCAGAATAATGTAGTGTGCATCTACACTAAAAGCTGTTATTTTTAAATAATGTCGAGCTGGAGGACTTCTTACTCTGACTCATGGTAACCCTCATTTCATGAGGAGTAAGGGAAGTTAAAGGAATGGTGTTCTTCCTTTGACTTCCTGCTGTGTAGACAGTGCCAAAAGCCAAATTAAGCTATTTCGACTTAAGCGACTCAATTGATGTAGCTGAAGTTGTGTAGCTTAATTAAACTTTAGCCCTTCTGTGTAGACGTACCCTTAGGCACCTTGCTATGAAGACCTAATTAATCTGTTAAGTGATTAGCAATACCAAAAAAACCTAATAAAAGTGATAGATAAATTCACCATATTCCCTAAAGTTAAATCATAGTTTACAGTGCCTTTTATCTTCTATTAAATAAGACTTATAAGTATAAATATGTGGAATCATAAACTTCTTGAGTCTCTGATTTGAAACTTAAGTGGGGATAGTACAGTATGTTACAATAAAAGGTACTTAGTTCTTTATATAGTGCTTTTTATAATTAAATGTCTTTACATGTGACAGATTTTCCCTTTAAATGACCCTAGCTCCTAGAATAATTGAAAGATTTATATTCCATATTCAGGAGTCCACCGTTATTGTGTGTCTCCTTTAAAAGCACCTGGGTCAGATTTTCAAAGAGTATGGCACCCAGCATCTTCCATTTTGGCACCTAAATGAAGTGGTTGCATTTTAAAATTGTTCATTACTTTTGACAACCAATGGGGCTGCTGGGTTCTGGGTAATTTTGAAAAGCTGGCCATCTAACTTACGTCTCTACACTGGAACTGAACTCTCAGAAATGCAGTTTCAAATATAAAAATAGAGCAGAGTTTGGTCAAAAGTGGGCAGTTTACAACAAGCCTTGAAAACCTTTCTCTCTAATTTCACAAGCATAATCACAGATTACCTTATGTATCAAAAACGAGAATGGTGTGACTAGGATTTACTTGGCTACAAGACTTTTGCCCTATTTTTTGCTACTTGGTGAATACTCTAGAAAGGAACAGTGCTATTAATAGAGATGCATTAAGCAGGCTGTAGTTTTGATTATTAATATTAAAGCAGGAATAAACCAAGGGTCTATTTGTTACTATTGTTACCCTTTTACTGTTAGAAGTATTTCTCCTTAAATTTAAAAGTGTAAAAAAATGTTTTGTACTAAATCAGTTTTTATAAAACTATTTATGTAATTTTTGTTTATATAAGTGTTTTAAAAATAAGTGTAAAAGCCATCACCAAATTAAATGTTCTCCATCAAAAATGTTGTGCTTATAAGAAGCACATGGGATTTATTTTTAAAAGGAAAAGTCAATATACCACATTTACTAAGAACACAATAGAAAAGCAGTTAGCATATACTCTCTCTCACACACACACACACACACAGTCCCACCAATTGATGTCATATTTATCAGTCCAGGTCCAGATACTTTTGGCAGCCAACCAGACTGATTACGGATAGGGAAGAGAGGTGCTTTATCGGTCTGGACCGATGGGCCAGAATTTTTGCAAGACAAAACCCCAAAATTATGGCAAAGCAGCCCCTTTTTATGATGCTATTTTTAATTTGGATTAGTAAATTTGACACCGTTATGCTGTAATTAATTACCATTTGATGAATGTTTGGGTTTTTTTTTATATTACAGCTACTTTGTCTTAAATTGATAGGCGCTTACTTTATTTTTTAGAGTTATTAATTTGCTCTTTATTTGTATTTTAATAGGGGTGCACTGCAATTTTTTGGTGCCTTTATTTGTTGTGGGCTTTTTTTTAGAACATTTGGTTTGGTGATGGCCTTTACACTTATTTTTTAATGCACATTTTTATTCTTCACTTATACAAACAAAAAATATATAATTGCTTTTGTAAAAACAGTTCCAGTACAAAAACACTTTTATACTTTAATTAAAAAAAAGACAATTCTAACAGTAAAAGGGAGAAAATCCTGACAAATAGTCTCTTTTGGTACTTTCCTACTTTAACTTTAATAACAACCAGAAAAAGTCTGCTTAATGTATCTTTATCAATAGCACAAGACTGTTCCTTTCTGCATGTCAGAAAGGATGGCTGGTAAGGTACACTGGAGCCTGTTACATTGCATAAAGATATACTTTAGTTACATGCCTACAGTGAAAGGTAAGAAGTTACTTCTGCAGTTCAGTTCACAAATAAAAGTTACAAGAAAAGCCCATACAGAACTCAGAAAATGTGAAAAAATAAAAGGGACAGGAGCCCAAATGTAAAATCAGTTTTCAATCAGGTTCAAACAGAAAATTTGTAATGTATAAGATGTTGATAGTAAAGTTCTCCCTGTGCTTGTTAAATCATTGTGTAGGTGGGATGGAGATTACTGAGACAGACAAACTGCTGAGCTGACCATCATTGAGGGTGAAATACTCATCTTGCGGAACAGAGTGCGTACACTATGGCTACGTCTAGACTGGCAAGTTTTTCCGCAAAAGTAGCTGCTTTCTACACTGGACACTTGAATTTCCGCAAGAACACTGATGATTGTCAGTGTTCTTGCGAAAATACTATGCTGCTCCCATTCAGGCCAGTGTAAGAGGGCCAGTGTAGACAATGTGGTATTGTTTTGTGCAAAAAAGCCCCGATCGTGAAAATGGCGATTGGGGCTTTCTTGCGCAAAACCATGTCTAGATTGGCACGGATGCTTTTTGCAAAAAGTGCTTTTGCAGAAAAGCGTACGTGCCAATCTAGATGCTCTTTTCCACAAATACTTTTAACAGAAAAACTTTTCCGTTAAAAGTATTTGCGGAAAATCATGCCAGTCTAGATGTTGCCTATGAGTCTTGAAGGACATGATAAGCCACCCTTCCATATCTACCGGAATGGGGGGAATTTGGATTCTCAGACTGAGCCTGTCCCACTTGCTGCTATTGCCGAAGTTCAGCCGTTTTGGGTTTGTTCCAAGGCTATCCTTTTCCCCACCCTTATGAAGTGTGCTGGATCTCGTAGAATGCTGGGGCCTTGCTAATTGCTTAGTTTTGTTTGATGGCCAGAAGGGATTTTTCCCATATAGCAACACAGGCAAAAGCTCATGTGGGTATCTTCCATCTGGCATCAAAAAAAAGTGCAGCTCTGGTGTTTACAATGCTACATTTACATCTGTTGCAACTATGGTGGGTTCCAATGTGGTGGTGATGGTGGTAGGTTTTTAAAAAAGGGTTTGACGTAATCCAATGGACTTCTTGGGCCTGGACCCCAAACACAACATCATATGGTGAGGATGTTGTCCACTTCTCTGTCTTGTGTACCAAGGGATTCACCACATCTCATCTTTCCACTTTTGGTGAGGATGAGGGGAATGAGTTGGAACTCTGGCTTTCTGCCAGGAACCTTGGATATGTAGAATGGCCCCTGCCCATCATCAGGTTTGTAGAAAATTTGTCAATTTGTGCCCAGTTGTATTCCGGACTAGAACAATCCTGCCGGATAGGTCCAACAGTGGTTCCTCATTGGTTAATAGTTTAATAAAGTGGCTGCTGCCACGTTTAACCACGTGCTGGTGTGTGTCTCATTGTTTCTGTTTCTGCCTCAAAGTATTCCAGTGCAGAGAGGTAGCACAAGACCTAAACATCATTTGTGAATTTGATACTCCATTCCATAGCTTTATCAATGCAGCTCAGACCTAACCAAAATCGGATACTAGTCCAGGGCTTCCCTAAATCAAACAACATTTACAGTGATTTTGCAAGAAAGCAATTTTCCACTGTAGACTAGATTGAATTTATTTCACTTTTGACTTTCCAAACTTCTTATATGTTGTTTTTAAAATCTAAAATGGTTTCTAAAATCTAGAATGAAGCATACTACTTCTGTTATAGGACAGCTACTATTTGCACAAGATAGATGCAAGACTAGATGAGCCACTTTCCAGGTGGACAGTTTGAATTCAGGCTTATTATGAAATCACATTCGTTGCTATCGGGATATCATTTTGTCGTTTTTATCTTTTCATATAGCAGCAGCACCTTTTGGTGAGTGGCTAAATAATTTAGCCACAGGAGAATACATTCTTAAAGTACAGCATTGTAAATTTTTCTTTACACTAATAAAGACACTATCTGAATTCAGACACAATCCACACAGTCTGAAAGTCTCACCTTTGCATAAAACACTGAACCATTCTTACTGAGCATACTCATAAGGATGTCACTTCAAGTTTGGTATCTGAGTTGCTATTAATAAATCATGCCAGGTTCAAAGGCTAACCTCTTGCAGAAAGAGCGACTTAGGTAATTTGACTTGCCTTTCTCCCCAGTGGTAATAATATCAGTGCCAAGCATGCTTGCATAACAATGGTTCCGTCATGTGTTTCATGCAAGGGAAGGCAGGATTATCACATATATTTTGAATGGATGGGAATAGGGATGGGGAAGGGAGAAATTTATGCCCTAAAATACCTGCATGCTGTCCAAGGTGTTCTGGGTGAAGTGCAAAGCAATAAATTCCAAACAAGACACAGTAAAACAAAGAGATGTGAAATAAATAAAGAAATAAAATACAGTTTTGAACACATTTTTATGTTTCAGACCAAAATATATTGAAACCGTTACACCACATGTAAAACATGCATTAATGCAAATCACGCAGTAAATTTTAGAAATCAGAAATCAATATTGCTGCTGATCTTGAATCTCATAGGGCAGATTAAAGAAACACAATGGTAAAATGAATAGGCTTAGTGAAACATAAAACAAAAGGCCAAGAATTTTTTTTTGATGTGGTTATGCAAATTAGAGGTCACAGACTAATCAGGTAAACAGGATTTTTAATTGACTTCCAAGGTAAATATGTATTATAATAGGTATGCTTTATTTCAACTTACTTCCCCTTGTCTCATATACTTTCCAGAAGGTACTCCATTATCTTTTAAAAAAATCAATTTTAATATATATGATAATGCAAGTCTATGAGTAATTTTTTTCCTGTGGAGAAATACACTTTTCAAGGAAATAATGCATAAATAAACAAAACAGAATTTCCTATAGATGATCACTGCACCAAAAAGTTCAATCTTCCATCAACATATGGGGAGGTAGGATCATGGATGAAAGATAAGGTTGCACAGAAGAAAAGGGAGGACTAGAAAATATTTATTTTAAAAAATAGTGCCAAGACATTCTTTACCAAATGAAACATGGACAAAGTAATAGCTGCAGCCAACCTATTTATGGGTATCATCTTTCTGATGCGTGTATATATTATTAAGTAGTTATTAATTCATAGTGACTTGTATGGTATTTGACTCAGGCAGAAAGTTCATCACTGATAATCTATTATGTATGAAATAGAAATGGATAATACAAAGAAATTTGGCTGCATTTAGCATGACATTTTGCTATTTCACATATGCTGTTTTATATATTCTACCCATCTATGGCAGGGGACATGCGTGTATATATTATTAAGTAGTTATTAATTCATAGTGACTTGTATGGTATTTGACTCAGGCAGAAAGTTCATCACTGATAATCTATTATGTATGAAATAGAAATGGATAATACAAAGAAATTTGGCTGCATTTAGCATGACATTTTGCTATTTCACATATGCTGTTTTATATATTCTACCCATCTATGGCAGGGGACTAAAAAGGCTTGAAGTAAGTGACAGAAAAGAGGGCCAGAGCCCAAGAAAGAAAGGCCAGGCCAGGCAAAAGGCTTCTAATCTCTTGCTGGCCCTGCCTGTGATAGGCCAAGCAGTTGTACAGCCTGTATAAAATTGAAAACTGGTGGTGGGAAACTGATCACAAACAAAGGCTAAAGTATCCCTGATTCATTGAGGAGAGAGACCAGAATATGGAGGAAGACAATGGGTGCCACATCACACAAGTGCTACAAATAACACAAGAAGACGATTAAAAACAAAACAAAACAGAGTATGTAGTGACCAGTTCTGATTGTTAACTTATTCACAGCACCCAAGTGTATTAATAATATAAACCTCAATGGTCTTTTCACCAACACTAAGACTATGGACCAGAACCTGTAAAGTGATGAGCACCTTCCATTGCTAGAGAAGTCAGAGAGTTGAAGGCACTTAGCACTTTATTGGAGATGTTCTATACTTCCAACCATCAACCATTGCCTCCAATGAGCTTTTATTGAAGCTCTGGCAAGCTACATTTCTTCTATAGCTGGTCCCTGAGAAGTTTTTTTAAGATTTAAAAAGATTTTCCCATTCTGAATCAGTACAAAATGCCAAAACCTTAAACATTTTTGAAAACCAATAATAAAAAAATTAGTTCAAGTCAACTGAAATATTTTCTTTGGATTTTGCGTTTTTTATTAGTTTTTCAATACAACAGTTAGCTTAAATTTCAAAATAAAAAATTTGGACTATATAAAGAAATCAAAATTAGACGTTTGCTAAAATCAATCTGTTCTTGTAAACATTTTCAATTTTGACAATGTGGCATTTTTTCATGGAAAAAATGTGTTGAAATTTTTTCAACCAGTTCTAATTTAGCTGTCTTTGATTGTCATTTACCTGGGCCAGCATAATATTATGGGTCACCTTACATTACAAATTAATCAGGCTGAGAGGTAAAAAAGGTGACCATCATGGTATCCCAGTCTCTTTCATTATTTCTTGTGAACATGTAATTTGATTGAATAAGTAATATAATGATATTTATATTAAATTTAAGCTGTACATACAAGAAAAATGATTTCAAAGTTACTGCAAAACTGTAAGTTGCACTCAAAGTCTCCTTATGGGTCAGATACTGCTCTAGATGGATTTATTAGCAAAACATTCAATAACTTCAACGGGAACTTATTCTTCATTTTGGTTTTACAGTAAGAAACAAATCCCTATATATTTTTCTGCAGTCAGTGCCTGAATCACAAGATCGTTCCTGTGGACTAATGACCAGACTGAAGGAACTGAAGATCTGAGGTGCAACCTACGGTCCCTAAGCCCAGTCAGTCATCAATCCCCAGAAAACGCCCTGTGCCCAGGTCATTATTGCTATGAGAAGTTGTTAATGAAGCAAATATAGATTTTTTTAATTCTCCCCTTTTCCTCTATTCTCCCTTTCCTCTATTCTCCCGCTCTTTAACAGCTGAAACAATGTTAAGGGATTTATAGTGAAAAGAAAAGGAACTTTTAAATATTTATTTCTGTATTTTTTCTATTGACAGGGAAGTTTTAATGGACCCAGATTGCTAATACAATCTTACCTTTACCATTAATTATTATGATCTATAACTGTCCTTAGACTCTTTTGCAACAGAATGATGGGAAATAACTAATAATACATATAGCCCTTCTCATCCATCGATGCCAAAGCAGTATACCAAATAAAGGTATAATTATCACCATGTTATGGATAAAAAACCTGTGTATATTTGTATATTGCAACTTGGATCAACACTCTGAGATCGATCCACCAGTGGCTGATTTAGCAGTCTAGCTAAGATCCACCAAATTGACTGCAGTTCGCCCTGTAGTCAATCCCTCTACTCTACGCAAGACAAAAAGAGTAAAGGAGGTTGATGGGAGAGTTTCTCCTGTTGATCACCACACAGTGTAGAGTCCTCAGTAAAGTGACTTAATGTCAACTCCAGCTGTATTATTCACATAGTGGAGTTGTGGAGGTTAGGCCAACTTTCTGTGTTAGCATATAAGTAGCCTGAGGAACAGAGATGTCAAGTTACAGGTGGTTAGAGAGCACAGGTTTACTGGACTCCCAATTCAGTGCTTTCGCCATTGGACCAGAATTGCATTCTCTATAGCATAAAAGAGTTAAAAAGGAAAAGGAATGTCTACTCAGGAATTACTACAGAATACTAGAAGCAATCATACTCTGGTTTCTCTTCAGATCGTATGAATCTTTCGCCTTTTACTATAAAGGGGAAGGAACAGGTATAATGGCAGCAAGAATAAACGATGTCTTTCTTACCTCTAGCAACTGAACTGCACCTTCATGTTCTTTCTTGGCTTCCACCTGAGCCTTTTTTACAATTAAAAAAGGAAGAAACCAGATTATTCAGTCATGCCATATTCATTTTGTACTAGGATAAAACATAATGACAGGTTTGCCTGAATACGATACTTTTAATTCAGACTTTTTGTGTCTTACATTCAGATAAAATACAATTAAATCAAATGTAATAATCAGAGCCAGCTCTATAGGAATCTATCAATTGTTAACTCAACAAAATGGCACTGATTACTATACTGCATGTGGTTCTGAAGATCTGAACCAAAGTTTATTAAAGCCAATGAAGGATGGATCTGGCAAAATATTGAAGACACTGGAATAGTCCCATTGAAGTCAAACAACAAAACAATTCCTAAAATGCTGCAATGCAATCAGATGTTTTGTATCACTGTTATTGAGAAAGTATAACATTTAGGATTCACTTCAAATATTACATGTTTGGATTACAATTCAAATGTGCAAGAAAATGAAGGCTGTTTTGTGATCTGGTATAACATAAAATCATTAGATTTAATTTTTTTCAGTTAGTTTTGCTACATAGTTGATAAATAGCCTTTTTTTTAAAGTGCAATTTAATAAACAAAGCATTAAAATCCTACAGTTTGATGGTTCTCATCCTTTTCTATTCCACCATCATACTGAGACCACAGGACTAGATGGGACCCTTCATCCATAGAGCAGCGCAAAAAGGGTAAGGCTATTGTTAACAATTCCAAACAGTTCCTAGTTCGAACTAGGGTGGCAATGTAGTCAACCGGAGTTGCAAATGAAGCCCGGGATTTGAATTTCCTGATCTTCATTTGCACGTTGCCGGGCGCCGCCATTTTTAAATGTCCGCTAGTTCAGACTCTGTGCCCCGCGGCCACACGCGGCATGAACTAAGTAGTTCGGACTAGGC